CTCGGCAACGGGGCGGCCGGGCTGGGCCGCGCCACTCTGGGCTGGGCAGAGCGGGATCCTCACAGCGGCACTCCAGCTCCTCTGATAGCAAAAGTACAAAAAAAAGAGAAAGAAACAATTATTTTTTTTCCCCGTCCCCCGTAAGCATCGTTTTCAGGATTCCCGGTGTGGCCACAGACAAAGCAGAGACACTTCTTTCCCTTTAAGTGCTCTCATGTATGTACACCTAAATATTTCTTACTTTGTTTAAAACACATTTTGAAAGGTTTATTACAATATTATTAAAACAAAACAAAACGAAACCATCCCTTTTTCTCTTTCCCCCCTCGCCTCTCCCCACTCGTGTGTTCTCGCTTTCAGCATTAAGGAACCACCCCTTGGAAATTAATCCTGGAAACCATCCTTCAGTGTATTTTTCATACCACCCATAAATTATGAGGGGTTTTGCCTAAATGGGTACAGGGAAGGAGGGAAAGCAAAGAAAGCAAAGTTTTCTTCCCTTCTTTTTTGTTTTTCAGACAGCTGATCTGCACTAGGAATAAAATAAATCACTTCTAGTTTTTCTAACACAGGGGTAAAATGTGTTCAAAAGTAGTGCAACATTCATTTTGGACAAAAAGTAAGCAAGCAACCTTCAGATCATAAATTCAGATCCCAGAACATAGTACCCATACTTAGTATGATGCAATTGCTTACGGTTATTATTAAACTATTCCTATACCCTTGACATGATGTCTTAAATATAGGCATAATATAGAAAGCCAGAATTATTTCCATAATGAGTTTTTTTCTTACATATTCTAAGAATACAATTGTTCACTTTCAGTTTTTCTAACATAGAGGTAAGATAGAACATATTTCTCCTCACAATTCACATGTACATCAGACTGTTTGGACAGTGATAGCTGAGTGTAAACCAAAAACCATGTCTGCTTCTATATCAGAGGGTCTAAACATGATGCAGCTCTGGAGAAGCACTCTGTAAATTTCCTGGGAATCACCAAATCAGTGTAAAAGGCAAGTGAAAAGAGCGATTTATCAGCCTACAAAACTTCAGATTTCTTTGGGAAGGCTGATATAAATAAAGGATGTTAACCAGGATTTAAATAGGTGATTCTTGACTCAATTTTATCTTTGTATTCCAAATGTCAGATGAAAAATGTGTGGCCTGACTGTCAAGCTGTAGTAAAGGCATTGCAAACAATTTAATTATTTAGCAAAGGGAGGAGAAAATTTAGTTGCTTCAAGCACTAATGGAATTTTTAAGTATTAATAAATAAATATTTACAATCAAAGTTGGTTAGTATTTGATAAGTAAACAATCCTACAATCAGAGAAGTACAAAGCAAAGTAATTTCTTTTATTTACTCCTAAAGTTAAAGTAAAAAGCTTTTTGAAATTGTGTGAACAAATTCAGGTGTTTTTGTCCCGGTTTAGATATCAGACTTGAAAGAAATTCTAGCTGTGACAAATTTACAAGGGGTATACTGAGTAGGTATAAAAGCAAATACACACAGCTATTGTTTAATTAAACAAATGTCCCATTTGGGGCTTGGTGAATTCTTGGTAATAATCCTTTGTAGTCTGCAGCTGCTGTTAGGTTTCCCAGCTCTCTCTGTTTGTCCCACTGGGCTGACATCTGCTGTGAGTCAAGCAATGGTTTGTACAGGTGAGAATTTCCCAGGTTTTATTTTGCATCCATCTTCTTTCAAACACTCATTCTGCATGTGAATAAAATGGGAGGATCACAAAATATTAATTCACACCACTGGTGTTTAAATGCAACATTGACTCTCCAGCTCCTGCGCCAATTTTGGGAAAAAACCCATATTCCAGAGTATATTCAGAAGCAAAGCTTTCTCAATTACATAAATGCAAGAAAGAGTGCTGGCTTTCAGGGGAAGATGCTGCAAAATGAATGGAATAATAAAATATTCCTTAAGCCAAAGGAAGAGAGCGAAAGATTTGGCACCCCACCGAGATGATGCAGCATTTTCAGTGTGGTTCCTTCTGACTACTACAGTGACATTGTCTGGCTGCCTCTCAGACCCCCTTTCAACAGTTTGTTTAACTCTTTGATATTTTCAACCAAGCTCTGTGGGGAAGCAAATGTCTTCAAGAAATGAAAATCACTACAAGGTTAGTGGACTGGGGCAAGGAAGATCAAAGCATTTGCCATTTTGGGGGGAAGGATGCTGTGTGAGTGTGGTGGATGAACAGGACAGAGCTAGTGTGGAGTTAAGCAAATGCTGCTGCTTGCCTGGCTGCTGCTCTGGGACTGTGAGGAGAGAGGAGGATGATGTATAGGGAAAGAGGGAGTACTGCAACTCAACAATCTTCACGAGCACATACAGAGAGGAACTGGAGTCAAGATGGGCATGGAAAGGGCAGCACTTGCTAGGAAACTCAAATTCCTTCATTGTGCTGCTCAGCAGATGACTTGTTTAATCCAATGGTAGGATTTTCTGCACACAGGCAATTAGCCATGTATTTTTCCTAGTCACTGACTTTACTGGTGAACCTGGAGCACATATGTGTTCTGGGCAGCCCTTCATTAAATTTGACCTGTCTGGTGGTAAATTGGAATAGGTGGTAAAAGATGTTTTGAGACAAGCTGAGGACTGTCATGCTTTGAGAAAGAGCACTGGTACACTGTGCAGACTTTGGCTCTTTTTTGAAGCCATATTCAGTATTGTCCTAGAAGTGAATGTGAAAGCAAGGGTCTGGAGTGCCTGCCTCGGCAGCTGGGAGCTCACACCCAGCTAAGCACACAGCCCCTTTACAATAGTTTTGCTACAGAAACAAAACCAGAACAATAGAGAGTGCTCTGGTGACAGGTGAGGGGACTGCCAAAGAACGGTCTTTGGGAAACCCAGGATGTCTGGAATCTGCATCCCAAAAATGAGGTACCAGTGGGATCCAAATACAATGTCGCGTTGCAGCCTATAGCATTGGGATGAAATGCAGACTGGCTGTTTCTTCAGATACTGAATAAGATGATGAAGTCTAGGGAGTATTTGGAGTCCTCTTTTGAAGGGAAGAGCAGATTCCCTGTTTATCCCAGACTAGAAGTTGTCTTCGGCTCTGGCAGCTGTGCTCAGCTGGGCTTGGTGGGACATGCAGGCAGCTGGATCACCTGCAGCAAGATCTGCCAGCGTCCTGATTTCTGGCTCTCAGGGATGTGTGCTCCCTGTGGGAAACATGTGCAGAGCTGTCGAGAGCAGAAGCAGTGCAGACAGCCTGAATTACATTCCTCCAACTCAGGCTTCTCAGCAGAGCAATTATTCCAGGGCAGTACTTCCCCTTGATTGATTGTCCTTGCCACTGTGGGGCTGACATCTTACAGGGGAGTCATGCTTGGTCCCTTATCGTGGGAGCATGAGGAATGATCATTACCCAGCGACACCCGTCGATAACAGTGAATAATAGCCAGGAAGGAAGGCAGACAACAGTAAGAACATGCTCGAGAGGTGCTGTAATTCTTGGGACAGGGCGCCTCTGCAAAGGAGGAGGAGAGTTTGCAGGGTGGATGGGAGGAGGGGGTCCTGTCGCTGTTGATGCTCTCTAGAGCTCAGCAGCTGGAGAGAAACATTGGCTAAGGATGGTCAAAGCTGGGAAGGGAAAAACGCAAGGAGGGAAAATGATGAAGTGAAAAGAGCTAGGAGCTACGCTGGAGAGCATACAAACAGCTTGCTGACCTCTGATGCATGAGAGATGAAGAAAACAGACAGTGTTTGACTATGTGGACCATGTGGGTGATCTTCTTCTGGATTTCAGCTGTCCCGGTAGGTGCTCAGATCTATTTATTCCTGTTTGCATGGAATCACACGTTATCTGAGAAATTCTGAGCACCTCTATTCCATGAAGTGGTGGTGTCTCTGTTTAGAAAGATCTGTGTAGAACCTGGGATTTTAAAATTTTATACTTGCTTCTGCTGTTTCCTGCACTAATTGACAGTGGCCATATGACTAGATGCTGGATGCCTCAGTTTCCCCACCTTTATAAAGACAGCAGTGTTACTAACCCACTTTGACAAACACAGCAGGTGCTGTGATGAACGAGGAAAGATTTGACCCCATTCAGAGAAGCTTTACTGATTTACACCAGCAATCAATCCCATAAGGGGCAATGCCCATGTCTAGCAGTGCCTTCCTGGACTCAGATTAAAGGAATGTGAAGTGATATTAACACCACAAAGTTTGAATTAGTTGTTTTTTTAAAGTTTTATCACTTTACTGAGATTTATGATGCAGATTGTCACTGCTGAGCTCCAGGTGCTTGGATCAGTCAGAAAGAAGAGTGGAACCTGGACTGTGATCTCCAGGTGCTGCTCAGGTTATTCAGATTTTGAATGCATATAAAACAAGGGGTGAAATGTGTCCAGCTTGGGTGTGAGTAGTTAGGAATGGATCAAATCACTGTTTCATTACAACAAATGGAAAAATCAATTTATTTGTCCCAGCAGGGGATTTGGCTCCAACTGTGAGAAAACCTGAGCTCTGCCTAGACATTTTAATAAAAGAGTGAATGCAATCTTCAAATATTTTGCCTTTTGATCATCTTCTGCAGTAAAAACAGTGACTGTGATAGGTTTCTTGTAATTTTGATTTCTTATTCTTAGTACTACCTAAAGATCTCTGTAAATAGATGTCACTGCTCAGGATGTCTCCAAGAGCACTCCTTCTATTGGTTCCTCTAATCTTTCAAAATACCTATTTTCATGTTGCCAGGCATCTTTTGCTCCTTAAATCCTCTCATTACACTAAATCCACTTATTTTAAAATGAAATGGCTGTGAATTATGAATAATGTTAATATCCATTCACTTCACACTTTAAAAGCTGTCTTGGCTGTCGATATTAATATTACAGCTTTTTGCCTGTTCTGGAGATCTATTTATCACAGTCATCTCTGTTTAGAATGGATTTGGTATCTTGTCTTGAAACAAAATATGAGGATGTCTTTCTCTCTGTCCTGGTTTCAGCTGGGATAGAGTTAATTTTCCTTTTAGTAGCTGGTGAAGTGTCAAGGAGATCAAAACTGTTTCAGGGAACTGTTTAGGAAGAGACATAGAAACCGCACGTAGAGGAGCCCCTTTTCCTGCTCGTTCTCAAGCAGCAGGGGCAGGCTGTTTGCTCCCACTTGTGGATGGTAAACACGAGTGAGATGGAGCACAGCTGGTAGCAGAGTGGGGTTATCCGGCCATGGCAGGGAAAACGGATTTCACATCACTCCGCAAACATCCTAGCGCTCACACCCAGCCTGCCCCCTCGGATGCCAGTGTTGGCAAAGATTGGCTCAGGGACAATGATGGAGGAAAACAAGGTCTTTAAACCTGCACCTGGAAGCTCTCTGCTTTCCCTGGGCTTAAAATCCTGTTAGTTGCATATCTATTACCAGGAAGTGGTATCCAGCTGAATAAGAATAAGGTGGACATCACTTTGTGGGGTAAAACAGTAACTGTAAGGCACTACCTATGCTGTATTCGTGCTTGAACAACACATTTAGTATAAGAAAGCAATGCTGTATCGGATCATCAGGGTGATCTTCACAACTGGGTGTGCTAAAAGTGTGTGGCCTCACTCTAGCCATAATGAAATAAGACAATTTAAATCTTTCTAAAACTAAAATTTTCTTAGGATCCACATTTCTGAAAGGAAAAGAGAGCCCACACAATGTAAAGGCTTTTTTAAGATGGAGTATTCCCCTGTTCCTGAGATCATTGTTGACATGATTCCTAGCATTTATTTTTACATATGTTCAGTATCATCTTAAAAACCCTCACGCAAACCAGGTTGGTTACGTTGGCCATTTCAAATGCTCAGCATTCAAATCCTGGCATCAGAAGAGAGTTTCTTTCATATAAAGTCTTTGCATGTGTGATTCCAGAAAATTCATTACATTGTGAAAAAATAGGTTATTTCTAGTTCATTTATTTCATGACACACAAAGGACAAGGGAGAAAGATACTGAACACACCAGACCAATTAGATGAATACTCAAAAAATTTCCAGCCAAAACAGTGGGAATATGGTCTCTAATGTCTGATATGCTAAAATTTAATTGTAGAAAACTAATAGTTCTCATTACAAGGTTTTCAGGGATTGTTCTTTTTCCCAAATCTAATCTGAAAGTGATCAGCAATGCTACAAGATTTATTAGGTTGAGCAATAATGTGATGGGTTAACTTTCTTGAACAAAGAACGTAAACAAATTCTGTCTGATACTTTTCAACAAATAGAGCCTGGTGACTGACTTTTAATCTCTTCATTATGTATATAGATACATATGCATTGATATATATATACATAAAATTTCCATTGTGAGAATTTATAGAGATTTTGGGTTTATCCATTAGAGAGAAATTTTCTAATACATTACAGTGGGCATCCACTTATATTCAGGTCTCTTGTATCAAAAGGAATAGACACTGGTAAAATAACAGAAAGGGAAAAAGTACTTTTTTCCTGAATGATGTATCTGTTAAGACCTTGTCCTGCAAATAACTGTGCAATGATTTTCAATACTTGTCATTTTAATGGTCTGTAGCTGTTTGGTTTTTTCACTCATTTTGGTCCAGCTGCATAAAACATAAACACACATTCAATTGCTATGTCAGGATTGAGTGAACACTAACATTTCTAAATGGTTTTATGAGAAAGGAGGCTGGGAAGATGAGAAAATGACCTCAGGGCAAATTACCATCTAGCTTCTCACAAAAATTTGGGTGAGATTCTGCATTCAGGTGGGCTCCTGCAGTTACCAGATGGTAGCAGTGAAACAGGCTTAGGTGGTCTGCAACCAGTGGGCGTATTTGGACCACTTGTGCCCAGGAAAATGACCTGCCAGGTGTATGGTTTAACACTGCCATGGGTGAGTGATTAATTCTCTGTTACTCTAGGAGACTCCAGCAGTGTTCTGGATGTTTCTGCAGTCTTTTGGAAGAGCATCCTGTTCATGTACTTAATTTAGCGGAATAACACATTTTTCTCAATGTCAGTAATGTCAGCAAAAGAGAGAAGACATAAACTCAGTCTGTGCTTGCCAGCTGCTACTACAAAAATGCAGACTTAACTGGGAAAACTGTCTGTATTTCAAGGAAATATTGCCCACAATCAAGTGATAGACCTCCATGGGTAATATGAGCATAAAAAGGGTAATCTGTTGAGATTTTATATGTTTTAAGATGAAAAGTGATTCCACTGCTTTTAAAATTTGTAGATCGAAGCGATTCCACCTGTCTGTGACCTTCTGAGCGTCCTGAAAAGGGAGGAGGAAAAGTGTGTGGAGACTCTTTCCCTGGAGGCAAGGAACAGAACAACTGAAAATGATCTGCTCCTGAGCTCAGGTAAAAAGACTGAACAAATGCACATGATAAAAGCTGCTCTCACATGGACTGGGTTCCTCAAACTCAGATACCCCAGTATCTGTTCCCATAGGAGGTATGCACTTAGTATACATCTCTCCTTTAGGAGCAAAAAAACGGGTAAGATCTGTTACAAGGCTTTGAGAGTGGAATTTTGACCTTACTGTGACAGGAAGAGTTGTGGGAATAGCTGCTTGACTGTTATTCTCATAACTGGAGAACACACCAGCAACAAAATCTTGCAAATTGCAACCCTTCTTGGACAAGGATAATTTAAAAAGTCACCCCAGCAAGTGTAAATTTACTTAAATATTTACCTTAAAAATCAATGAAGACCAGCAGCCAACATTTAAATCCCACGGCTTGAAGGTTCTCATTGTTTCCTCCTTGTTCCAAGTTACTGTCACCTAACAGAGTTCTTGAATTTCAGTGAGCATTTATCATCATATAGAAGAGTTTTTTGGCCTGGGAAAGTTGTGGTACTGTGTCCTCGTCATGTAGACAGTTTTGCTTTCACAGCTGAGCAACTGGGGTCATGTGCAAGAGATTATTAAACCTTGTCTGAACTGTGTGTTAGTTCCCCTGGGCAGCTGCTGGGTCAGCATCTCAGAACATTGGGAGTAGGCAGCAATGTGACTATTTTTTTGTGTGTCACCAGCCATCACCGCTAAGGATGGGGTCGTGTCACTCACAGCATCTCACAGACTGAGCTGATTCTGCGTCATTTCTGTGGGCCATAACATGGGCAAGGTTCTCACCAGCATGAGAAGGAGCTCCCATGAGATGTGCTGTGTGCAGGCTCTCCTGGCCACAGACAGGAAACCCTGTGAAGCTAAAGTGTGTTCTTGGTTTCAAAAATTTCCCCTCTAACAGAGTGTTGGAAACACAGAACAGTCCACTATGTCCCGGCCAAAGGGCAGAACGCAGAGGGAAGATCTATTGCCTGGTTTCTTAGGATGCCTTGCATTTTTCTCTGTCACTCTTTTATCCCTGTCCCTTGCAGACTGATGGGTGTGAGCACAGCTTTAGGGCATTGCAGCCATGTAGCAGTGACAAAATACCTTATGGCAAGCTTCCAGGTACTCCACAAGGCAGATCTATTTCACTGCATGAAGAAGTTTGATGATATTAATAAATCAGTATTGTTTGTTTCCTTCAGTGAAGGGTGGTTTGTCAGCTTATTTCTTTCTCTGTTTTAATCCTGTGAGGTGGCTCTAATGTTCAGCTCTGTGTTGCCTTGGCACCAGAGCTCCACAGATGCAGACAAGCAAAACTCCACAGGACCGTGCAGGTGTGGACCCGTACTAGCATTAGCAGGCAATACCATTTTACAGACCGTCTTGTTCTATCTCAGTCAAATAGTAGCTTCTCAGCAGAGACTTAATCCAATTTTAAACTGGATCCACATCTTAAAATCCACTCAAGGCCTTTTGTTATTGGAATTTTTTAATGGGGTAATTCTACCTAAAATTCTACCAAACTCTAAGACGGATTTGTTACCTTGGTAAATTAGGGGGTAATGCTTCTATTCTGGGAAATAGAACATCTGAAAACACCTCCAGCCTTTAAAGTATCTGCATGCCTTAAGTCCATGTGGAGAAAATCCCATACAAGGCTTTCAGTTTGAGGAAGAAAGAAACAAAGCTGAGGAATTCAGTGCATACCCTTGGTGGGTCATGCAGGGAGGAATAAAGGTGGCTTCACAAGGTGTGGCTTCCACACCTCATCCTTCCTGCACCTGCCCCAGAAGCTTTGACTGGCACAGGCAGGAGAAAGGACAAAGCAGGGGAAAAACTTCCACCATGACATCCCTGTTGCAGTGCTCACATTCCTCTGAAGATGGCACAAACACAGAAGTTCATTACTGGGCAATCAGGTACCTGAGCAGTGAGTGTTTCTTATCCTCCTGCAGTAAAAGGGAAGAGGGACTCTGCCCTTATGATAACATTAGCTTGGGAAAGGGAGCAGTGTAATATTAACATAACCCAAGACACATTTACACTCTTTTTTGTGCATGAGTGAAGACAAAAAAATTCTCTTGGGAGCGAGGAGCAGGGTGGAGAAGCTACTGGAGACCTAGAACCCCTGATCATAGTGACACTGTGTATTGCTGCTGGGAGAATGCTCTGAGTGCTGCTTGAGGGAGATCCCAAAGGGCACAGGGCCATGTGAGGGAGGTGTTGCTGTACTTTGTCTCCACCCCGAGGCTCTTTAGCTGGGGATGGGAGATACCAGCTTTCATCCATGACGAGTGGCAAGAAGCCCACCTACAAGAGGAATAGCTCAGCTAATTTTTGTTTTCTCTTCCTGGATGGAAACCACCCAACATCATAATTTTGCCAGGTTTTTCTGTGCATTGGGTCTGATTTGGAGGTTTTATGCCTGTGGTATTGGCATGAAGGTTTGATAAACCAAACAATGTGGGAAGTTAAGTCATAAATATCACCCAAGGTGAAGTTTTGCTTGCCTTTAAACTTTTGCTTTGAAGTAAATCCTTTCCAAGACTTATAAACTTTGGCACAGGGAGGACATCAGGGCTGAGGTGCTGCCCTGGCTGTGAACATCTCTGTACTTTCAGGCACTAGGACTCTTGCACAGGAGGAAATCAATACATTTCTAGAAATGTAAATATTTTTGTCAGGCTAATGGAGGTTGGCCTTATAAAACATGAAGTGTTTGAGGAGAGTGTTTGGTCAGCACTTCCTCCCCTCATCCTTCAGGGAGCATGCAGGGCAGACGGCACACGTTGGAATACAGCAGGAACAGGGTAGTCCTGACATGCCCCAGTGGCCTTTCTTTCCCCTGTTATGTTGCAGAAACCTCAGAGGGCTGTGCTAAAACCATTGACAGGGAGTGGAGGCAAAAGGGAATGAGTTTGAATGATTTCAACCTGTTTCTGGAGAAGAGCAATATAAGAAATGGTAAGATTGCAGTTTCTCTTTGGTACAAAGAACATCAAATGTAGGTCTTCTCCACTAACACTCTGAACCTCAGGCCAAAATTAATCCATAGCAACATGCAGCACCTAAACAAGATGTTTAAGTACAGATCACCATCATATTCTGCTCCAGTGGCCACCAGATGAGCTCCCTGATGCATCTCTACCAGCCCTGCCAGAAGGCAATACAGTCGAGTTGAGGGTGACTTGACTCCCTGACTTCGAGAGGGGACCGTGACAAAGCCCATCCATAAAATAAGCAGCCCTTGCACCTAACTGAGGGAGATGGGTAAGTCTGGGCAGTCAAGCTCAGTGAGTAGTTTGTTGGCATTGTTCACTTCACCACAGCCTGAGCACAGTGAAAGAGTATTTATGGTGATAAAAGGAAGACATTGATGCTGTTCCTCTCTATCCTTTCTCCAGTATGATGAGATTAGCTCAACTGGTTAGAGCACAGTGCTAATGATGTCTAGGTTGTGGGTGTGATCCCCAAATGGGCCATTCACTTTACAGTTGTACTCTTTTTGTGGGTCCCTTGCAACTCAGAACAGTCTGTGATTTAAGTGATCTGTGGTTTAAGTATCATCCTGAAGCTGTTTAAGCTCCTAGTCACAGAATCACAGAACGGGTGAGGCTGGAAGGGACCAATGGATCATCTGGTCCAACCTCCCTGCTCAAGCAGGGTCATATAGTTGCATGTTTTCCTATTTACAAAAATGCTGTGTAAGGAAAGCATTAGGATGACTGAAAGTGAAAGCTTTAGAAAGACTGAAAATAAGTTTAAAAATTTCCATGTGATTTCCTTCATCTTTCCAGGGCCATTCAGTAGTTACCAGCAAACAGTTAGGTAGTAAAAGGCCTGATGTGAAGTTCAGAACTACTCTAATTGCTATTTGTGTGTCTAGCAGAGACCAGTGGGAACAATGACAAGAATGGGACAGGTCTGGGAGCTTGCTGGGGCTGGTTTGAAGCAATCAGGACCTGCTCTGTCCTATCCAGGTCTCAGCAGTTTCTCTGTCTCATCCAGCTTGCTTTTCAGAGCACTGAGAATCTTTGTTCCTGGAGCTGCCTTGGTCCGTGGGACATATATTGCATGGTCTTGTGCTGCTTGGAGACATCCAAGTGTTTCATTGTTGGAAGAAGTTTCATGGTGTTATGTCACTGTATGGTATTTCCTTGTTGCCCACCCCCAGGCAGATGTGCTGGAATGTGGGATAACATGAGCTGCTGGCCTTCATCCACTGTGGGACAGACTGTCAATGCTCACTGCCCTGAATTCTTCCAGATGCTGACTGGGAAAAAAGGTAATGCTAAAATGATGATTTTCTTGCCCAGGTGTTTTTTATTAAACACTTATTTATTAAACACTTTATTTTTTATTTAGTTACAAAGATACCATGCTCAGGTCTGAACTTGAATTTTTTTCTCTCCTTCTTTTAAAGAACAATAGTTACTTAGCAGCTCTGTTTCCAACACTAAGCTGAACATGAAAAAGCCTGGAATTAAAGTAGCAAGATCTTTTAAGTGCTTGTTTTTTCTAGCCAGACATATAAAAGTGCATGAATTAAATGTTGTCCTGAAAAATATGTTTTTAGCATGGTTTCTTAAAGGAAAGGGTTCTCTCCACTCAGGTGCTGTGTTTACTTCTGTCTTTCCCTTTTAATAACTCCTAGAGATAGTGGCTGGTCCCAGAGGAGCTTGATAGGGGCAAAACACACAGCATTAGGTTCACATGAATTTTGGCAAAACATCCAGCCAGGCAGGTAGAAAAGATCCCCTTTTTTGCCTTCATCAAGAGATTATCTGCAATGGGGATTTCTCTCTTTTCTGTAAAAGGATCCATACAAGTGGCACAACCTCATGGAAATTCAGGTTTCATGGCTCACCAAACAATTCATTCAAACAGAGGTGAGCTCAAGCAATCCTTATTGTCCTTTTTCTGGGATATCTAAGCTAGAAATGAAGTGAAATTTACTCCCAGAAGGCTACAGTAATCATGAGCTATTAAGTAAGCCTGCTTCCTGTTCATTTCTGCTTTTCAGTAATGCCCAAGAAATGTGTTTACATTTCTCTTTAGGGAGTTAATGATTCAAATGAGAAGAGGGTTTCGCATTCTTCAGTTATAGGGCACAGATTAATGAGGTCCAGTACTTACAGAAAAGCAGACAGATTCATTTTATGAAGGGAGGAACAGGAGACAAAATATTAGATTGTCTAATAAAGATTACATAACTCAGAGGAGAAGCACTTAGTGCTCTTTAAATGAAATCAGACACGAGCCACTCAGATTAAAATAGAAACCTTGCTACTTTCTGTACACACGAACATTATCTGCCCTTTGAGCCCTTTAATCTGATTTAAAGCCAAAGGATAAACTACACAAAGGCATAGATCGCTGGAGAAACCATCCGTCTGGCATCTACATCTTCAGCAGAGTGATCCCGGCCCTTAAATGCAGTAACTGAAATCCCTGCCGGTACAGCCACTAGAGGGAACTGCTCCCTGCCTCTGGTCTTCTCACCGGGGAAGAAAACAGGAATTTGTACATCCAAAGGTCATAATTACATCTCAGATGTTTACTGCCTTATCTTGGAGGTAGTCAGCTTAAACTTTAGTTGCCCTCCTTATCAAGAAACTGATAAACAATAATCAGTGTTCAAAACAGATCCCCAAGACCTGGTCCATCGTCACCAGCATATTATTTCAGTCTCTGCATCTGGCATTTTGGGTCAAAGTCAGCAATAGTTTAACCTCATTCACATGGCCACCTTCTTTGATTTTATACTGTGGTTGGCTTGTGACTTCTCAGTTTATTTATTGCTACAGTCATTGCCCTGTTTGAAACAATTTTGAAAAAGAAAAACAAAGATCTGCTTGCTTCAAAGGAAAAGCAAAGGTTCTCTCCTCACCACTTACAAAGCAGATGGGCAGCCACAAAGGCCCATATGTTAAACCATGTGGATGGCTCTGGGCTCTGCCCAAACCTTGGTCTCTGTGCTCACATCTAGACTTGCATTTGCAGCCCAGCCTGTCTGGTCCCTTTCTACATAGCAGACCAAAGAAACAAAATTAACTGGAACCAAGTAACAGAACTGACCATGGTGTCTCAGGCATGGAGTCAAGGAAGGTGTGACAGTCTTGAGGATTCAGAGGCAAAGGCCACATCAGATGGCCCCAGTTCCACAACCAGAGTTCCTTTAGCCAGAGTTCCTTCTTGCCTAGGCAATTCCAAAGTACCAGTAAACAACACTAAGCCAAATCCTTAGTCAGACTGCAGATCCCCAGTCTGCTTTGAGTGGAGCATGCTGCAGTTTCCCCAGTGTGTGTGTGTCACCTATAACCAAGGAGCCCTGTTAAAATTTTCCTGGTGTCCATCCACGTGATGTTCCTGGCATAATCTCCATCCACGTGATGTTCCTGGCATAATCTCCTGTGCTTTGCATATAGCAACACCAACACAGAGCTCCACCTCTTTTTGTCTGATGTGCTTTGACAGCCTGAGCACAAAACAGTCACAGGCGTGTTTACAATCACAGTGGTTTGCTCTGAGTTAAGTAAGTGTGTAAGCCTGGCCCTTTCAAAGATGCTAAGCTGGAACAAGATGTTCAAAAAAGCATCAGAATAATAGTCTGATAATGACACACCCAGAGCTCTTCCCACTCAGAGTTCTAAGCATGTTTGCTGTGCCTTGCAGGTTTACAGAAGTGAGTTCAAATCAAGTGCAGGCATGCTGTCAGGTCACCAGCATTAGCCCAGAGGTAGCAGAAGCCCTGACTCTGTCCTGACAATTCAAGCAGGGCTCCAAAGAGGATAAACCATTGCCAAACACTGCTGCATATGCATCTCCAGCAGTTCCCTCTGCACTGCAGGGATGTTTTGCAAGAGCCAGACACCCTAAAGTCCTAATGGCTAAATGTGTGGGGAAAAAATAGACTTTTTTGGTGCCCTCTGGCAAGGCTTGTACAAAGAAGGACTGCTGGTTTCATGTCCCCTTTAAATACCTGCTAGCATTGCCATCACTGGACCAAAGACAGGATTTCACCCCATGTTTGTAAAGTATGATTCTTACCATACAGATCAATGTGATTAGGACAGTGGACAGTGGTTTTACTTCTTTGTAAAAGTTTCTCTTCAGCATTTAATATACATGCCTGCTAGGGCCACTTTCTTCCAGTGACATTTTAAGTGGTGTTGGGCAGGATCTCCTACTTCCACTTTGGGACCAAACATTAATATGGACAAGTTCAAAACTATCCCACTCAGCCATATGCAACTTGCTGGGCATTCATCTCACTCAGCATTAGGAGTCTAAAAGTCAGACATCCCAGCAGAAGAGGGTCAGACAAACTGCCCTCTGCGGAAACCAATCCGAAAAATGAGTTGAATTCTGCAAATGCCTATTTTTCTCCGAAGACAGCCACAAGGGACACAATTGGACTCAAGTACTCAGCTTTCCAGAAGTTGAGCTTAAGTGAGGGGAATTTCTTCCTAACCTTTAATTTGCAAGCAAGCAAGGAAATCAACAGGGTAAAATAATGCCCAGTGTGGGAAAAAGACTTTCAGTATTCATTTAAATCTTACTGAAAATCTGTGACCATCTACAGTTTTGTGTTTTATTTGGAGCATGACAAACCACAGTAAGGAGGTGGAAGCATTCAGCAGAGTGTCAGGTTTGCATGGAGATTGAATCTGTGATTGAACAAGTCATGTGTTTGCTGATCTTGGAATAGTGGCCAAGAAACACCAGATGTACTGAGCAGTATTATTTATGTTGCAATTAATAAAAACACATCCATCACAGTCATCCCTGAGAGGGTAAATAATATTATGACCCACACAAGTACACTGGGCAAGTATCAACAGAATCAGCTCAGCTGCATTTCACCTCCAGCTATGCAGAGTGCACTGCCTGGGGCAACATAATCTCCTGGCTCCTGGAGCAATCCTATATAGTGACTGAACCACGAGGACAAAGATACAACTGGAAATGGTCATACCCATTCTGTCTTTTTTTATTGTTACTGCACAGGTTTTGTGTACCGAAACTGCACAAGTGAGGGCTGGTCAGACCCGTACCCAAGACCTGATATTGCTTGTGGCTACAATGTCAACGACACAACCAACGAGGCCAGAGTGAGTCTGAGTGCCCATGGCCACAAATCTGCTGCTCTGGGGCCCAGGGGAGAAAGACTTTTAGGAGAGACTGATTGATGTTGTGATTTAACCCAGGTGGGGCTATTGCTACTGGCGGTTTTCAGCATGAATACTTCCTGCAAGTGATTGGAAATTGTTGCTCAGGGTGAAATTTCAGTAGCTGATTTTACAAGAAAATTTATTCATTAAATAGGAGGAGGGAATCCTTCTTTTTGTGTGGACTGATCTCTACCAGGCAGGGCAAGGTAAAGATGTGATTATATGTTCCCCTGCAGCGTTCCTATTTCATGACCCTGAAGATCATGTACACCATCGGCTACTGCACCTCCCTTGTGACACTGATGATAGCCTTAGTGGTCCTGGCCTCCTTCAGGTGAGGAGAAGCATCTCTGGTTTGTCTTTGGCCAGGACTTCTGGTCATCTCAGCTGGCAAAAATCCTTCTACTGACTTTCTGGGCAAACTTAAAATTGAAGTATATCTGAAAACCTTCACAGAAATCATGACAAAATTTCAGGGCTGCTCAATATATTGTGTTCTCCTTTTCTTTCCAAATCACAGCTGGATGAATGTTGCAAATGGCATTTGCACCAACTCCCTGCTGAGATCTTCCCATTATTTCAGTGTCCCTTGGGCAGAGTGTCTTTCCCCCTGCTGCTCTTTTCCCCACTTGGGACCGTGGCTAAAACTTTGCTCTAAGTGCCACTGCACTGACTTCTGGCAAGGTGTTCCAGATTTCTATTAGCAATCTGACATTCAGCTTATCTTCACTCATGCCTGTAACCTGGAATTTGTACTGGGCTGCTTATTCAGTGAAATTAATTTCCCTTACAGTAAATGTCAGGGCGGCACCTCTGGGCAAAAGGAAACCAAACTACTTTGCAAATTTATATTCAGGCTGCACAGCCTCTGGACACAGACTATGTGGAGATTTAATACAGAAAACACTGCAGGCACAAGTGCACTGTGCTGGCAGAATAAACAGATTCATCCAGGTGTGAATAAACACCTTGGGTTCATGTTACTCCAGAAAAGAGGGAGGGATGCTAGAACAAGCATATTGGCATGAAATCAGAATTTTCTTGGCAATGTTCAGCTTGTTTTAGTACCTGAGTGGAATAGATATGACTGTAGCTTTTTAAGGTTTTCTCTAGGATGTCCCTCTTGGGGACATTACTCTTCCTTTCATAGACAGAAAAACACTTTTCTTCATTTGCCAGTTTATCACTACTAAGGATTGAAACCTGCTGTTTACAGCCACAGGCTCCTTACATTGGTGAGGAATGTCACTTCACTGGATATCTCTCTCTTTTTTTGGCAGAAGACTTCGCTGCACAAGGAACTACATCCACATGCATCTCTTCACATCATTCATTTTGCGTGCCTCATCCAACTTCATCAAGGATGCTGTCTTGTTTTCCTCTGAAGACACAAATTACTGTGGGGCATACACGGTAACCCTCGGCTCACCAGCTTGCTCCACCCCTCAATTTCCTAGCAGGATTTAGTGTATAGGGAAGGAAATCCCCATCCCAGCTTTATATTCATCATGAGGGGTTATGGGAGAATAGAGGTATGCTCTGCCCCTTCTCTGAGAACACATTAAATATTGCTGACTTACACTGCAGTGTGGGACCTGATAGTAAGATAAGGGCTTGCACTCAGAGAGTCTGGGACCTCCCAAATTTTGAAATGTTTTTGGCTTTTTCTTTTTATTGGCAGCAAACTATTTTGAAAATTTGGGTGTGAGGAGGGCTGAGCAACACTGGAGATGATGGTCAATGCTATAAACTAAAAGATAAGAATTAGGGAGAGGAACAAAAATAGGTTTGTTTTGTGTTGTTTTAACCTACTGGATTTGCTGGATTTTTTGTGGCAAAAACTAACATTTTGAGAACATTTTAGTTTGTCTTTATCAACTGCTTTTCTTGGGAAAAAAAGTATTGACAATATATTCACATGCTTCTCTGAGGTGATATTAGTGTTACTGGTACTAAGAAGGTAATAACAGTGAAATTCCCCTGAGACAGTAACCTGAATCCAAGTGTCCATGACACATTCAGCTCTTCTAGTGAGGCAGTTGATTAATGCATTTAGGAGTGCCAGCTCTGCTTTCTTGTCATGTGAACCCCTGTCTCGAGGACACCCATTTAGTCCCCTAATTGCTAAAAAATCTCTATTTGCCAAGATTAATTTACAGCTTGCTCTCTCTGTTAGAAGGTAGGCACAAACCCAGGCAGGAGCTAATTATCCTCTCTTTCCTCAGGCTGGCTGTAAGCTCACCATGGTCTTCTTTCAGTATTGCATCATGTCTAACTACAGCTGGCTCCTGGTGGAAGGGCTGTACCTCCACACTCTCCTGGTGATTTCTTTCTTCTCGGAAAGGAAGTTCCTCTGGTGGTTCATCGCCCTGGGATGGGGTACTGGTTCTCCTTTCAGTGAGAATAACTGGGTTTTGTCTGCCTTTGGGATGGACTTGTGAAGCAGTAACTGGTTATTCCAATTGCAGGTGCCCCAACAGTGTTTGTGGCTGCATGGGCGACTGCTAGGCAACTCCATGAAAATATTGGGTAAGTGGTATGGAGTGGAGGAAGCTGGCATGCCAGGGGGAGCATGCAGCCCCTGTGCAGGCTGTTCCATGGGGTCCTGCTCATTTCTAATTGCTGGAAGTAAATCAATCAACATCCTGCTCTGGTGGGAGCCTGAATCCTAGCGTGGGTAGAGTAGAGGTACAGCTGAGCAATACAAGTAAAAGCTTCCAATTCCATTTGAACATTTTCAAGGGTAGGAAGTAGCCTTCAGGTATGAATTCAGACCACAATGTTTTCAGCACCAGTATTTAATTTTCTGAATGGTGAAACTTTGTTTCTTTCTCTTCATCTTTTCAAAATTTTCAACGGTGTTCCCCTACTTTAAGGGAAGGACCTATTTCTGTCCAGGGCAGCTGGGCAGTTTTCTGCCAGACACGTACCACTCAGTGAGAACAGGAAATTAGTTTTGTAGAGAAGAGAATGAGAGAATAAGGTGCAAAACAGACTAAACCTGCTTGAAAAGATACCAATGTTTTGATAACTGACTGCACCTTCTCTTCTATTTTTATAGGTGTTGGGACATTAACACTGATGCCAATACCTGGTGGATCATTAGAGGCCCCATAGTTTTGTCTATTTTTGTAAGTCTTTTCTGGGACAAGCAGATTCAAACTGTATTTTTAAATACTGTGAAGTCAGAGCTCATCTACTCAACATGCTTTAGAAGTGTGTTAATGAACTGATCTTAGGCATGTGTCTGAACTGGTGTGACCCATGAATTATTGCTTAAGCAACTTCTGCTTAGCAGGACTTAGACAGTAACTAATGCCCCAAAGCTAAGTTCACAGGGAAAGCTAGAGTGTCCTCCCAAGAAGCAAGAGCCTGAAGATGATCAGGTTTCCACATCCTGTTGATTTCACATGATCTTGGCTGTTTTGTGGAAGCTTGTTTTGGACTGTTTCAAGGAAAGCTCCAGAGGAGAAACGAGTGGCTGTACATTTCAGTACAATTACTTTTGTGTCTGCTGGTCAATGCTTCTCTCAGCAAAGCCAAAACCAACTTGCCTTACATGACCACTGGCTTTTGTTTTCAGGAATGAAAACATCTCACAGGCTGCATGCACCACATATTAGTGGACAGCACTGAGGCACTGCCCAGTGAATTAAGGCACAGGCGTTGAAACTCAGTGTAAGCTTGCCCAGTGCAAGGCAGTAATGATGACAAGAACAGTTTGGTGTGTATAATACTCAACACCTGTGTTTTGAGCATTTGCTGATGCTCTCCTTCAGAGCCTTAGGTACCAGGGGGCTGGAGCTGCTGTTCAGGATTGTTGCTCTGCCCGGTGAAAATGCTCTGGGTCAGACCATGCTGCAATGACCTGTCTGAAACCCTAGACCAGAAATGTGAACTGCTGGTTACTCTCAAATAACCTGCTGACATTCCTAGCGAGACCCCCAAGGGCTGGTTGAGGTTTTCAGGCTTCCAGTAAGAAACATTTTACTTGCAAAACACAAACTGCAACACTTGCACACTTCTCGGAAAGCCAGGCAGCAGAGATGGTGGGTTAAAGTTCTACTCCTATTGACCAGTGAGCAATCCTGCATGCCCACAAGACAAGCAGCAGACCGCACAAGTGATTTGGGATCAACTTAACGAGGCCATGGCATTTATTTTGATTAGTGAAACAACCCTCATGCCAAGAGCCACTCAGCAATATATAAAAGCCAACAAGAACCAGGCATTCTGCAAGACGAAAAGCACAATCTTAGTTTATCTTTTGGCTGCCCCCACCCGCTATCGCCTTCCAAGTGTCCTCAGAATGCTGATCCTGCCTTGTTTAGCTACTGAAGGCAGAAGCCGCCTGCATGACTGCAGGTTTCCCCCAAAAGAGGCTTTACTCAAGCCCATAACCAAACAAACAGCCAGATCTTAAGAATTCAGGTTTTATCTCTGTATTCTCACAGCCTTCAGCAGTTCAAAGGGCAGAAAATCAGCACCGATAAACACCTTTGTGCTCCCAGGCTCTCGCTCATTCCTGCGCTGCCCGCGGGAATTCCTCAGGAATCCCGCCGCTCCCCCTTCCCCTGGGGCTTTTATCAGCCCTGCTCAGCCTACACGGCTCTTCCCTGACCTAATGGGTTAAAAATCTCAGAATACCCAGACTGGAACCTCCTTTGCTCCCTACCACCCCTGAAGTATTTCTTTCCTTCATGCTCTCCACCTTTAGTTCCTCCCAGCTCTACTCTTCCTTCTCCCTCCCTGGCTTCCCCAAACTTCCAGCCCTTTCCAGACTCCCTCAGCAGCCACAGCTGCTCCCTTTCCATCCAGTAACTTTAAAGAACCCAGACCCACCACCCCAGAGCCCTGCTCGGATGCCCCCAGGCACGCACAGCCCACCACGAGGAGGATGCGCCTCTGCCGCGGTGTTTCCCGGCTCAGGGAAGGGTTAAGGACCTGCCTCGGTGCAGGGTCTTGCACAGGGGCTACAGCTCTGCAGGCTGTGCAAGCCAAGGGCAAATCAGCCCGAGTGGCTCCCCAAGGGGTGCGAGGCGCTGGCTGAGGGACAGACAGACAGACAGACAGACACACGCTCAGGCGGCTCTACCTCCCCTGCTACTCCCACTCTTTGCCTGAGGGTCAAACGAGCAGAAACTGCTATTGCCTCATCTGCACCCAAACTGAGCAGATCAGCATTTTTATCTGATATCCACCCTTCGAGAGGGGGAAAATGCAAAAAGAAGAACTCCAGTGTCGACTGTCTTCTCTCCCAGCTTTTAACTGCATTGCCTCGTGATCCCAAACCACACGCAGTGCTTTTGGCAGGGAACAAAGAGCACTTGTAGTCCCAGTTAGCAAGTGATAGCTCCAGTGCTGCCCCTTTGCTGGCATCCAAAGTGAGGCCAGACTGTGCAGAGGCTGTCAGAGTCCCGCAGCCAGACGGGACAAAACCGATGCTCCTGCTCTCCTGCCCTTTGGTGATTTGCCTGGGTGACAAGCCCAGACCATCTCCATAACTAAAGCTGTAGCAAACCAGCAGGGAAGACAGCCAGCATCCAAGCCCAGGGTGGCCAAGTAGGCTGGAGAAGCAGGAACAGAAACTGGGATGGCAACATGAACATGGGCAGGCCAGCCTCAAACCCTCTACTCTTTCTTCCTGGTCCAAACCCTCCAAAGTGGCTCTGCTGATACTTGCCATTTACATAAGTGGATACTACATTTCTTGCTTGGTGGGTTGCTTTTGCATTCCTACTTTGTTTGTTTGTTTTTTCAGATTAATTTCATTCTGTTTGTCAACATTTTAAGAATCCTGATGAGGAAGCTCAGCTCCCCCCAAAAAAGGAGCAGTGATTTCAACCAATACAAGTATGTTCTTTACATCCTTTATGAGACATTCAAGGCCACACGAGCATTTCTTGTTCCTTCTACACCAGCTTCTCCTTCTGTTTTCATTCTCAGGAGACTTGCAAAGTCAACACTCCTCCTCATCCCTCTCTTTGGGGTCCACTATATCATCTTTGCTTTTTTCCCTGAGGATGCCAGCAGTGGCACGATGGAAATTCAGCTGTTTTTTGAATTGGCTCTTGGATCATTCCAGGTAATATTTGACAAGCTATTTTTTCTTTAAAATAAGAAAAAGAGTTAGAACATATAACTGCAACAGACTTGAATTTCCAATGGCAATCCAAGCTGTCTGATTTCCCTTGAGATGCCTCATCCTCATTCACTGCAGTCCTGTGACCACAATTCTTTTATCTTTTAGGGCTTTGTTGTGGCTGTACTTTATTGTTTTCTTAATGGTGAGGTGAGTTTTGTGTGTATAACACTTTTTTATTGCTGAAGCATGCCTCATTAATCAGTGGGATACATCCCCCAATAAACTACAAGTTTTGTCTGCGGGTTTTCTTCCCAGCTACCTAACATCACTCGTGAAATTCCTCCTAGACCTGGCAAGCCTAGCTAATTGTATGCCAACTTCAAGATGCAAACTTCACCTCTCAACTACTGCAACCCTTTCATAAATCAAGATAACATTATTACTGTCTGGGAACTGAGGGTGGGCCACCATCCCTCACACAGTCACACTGACAGACACTTTGTTCTGATGTTTGGTACCATTATCTGCCATCCCATCCATGGCTGTTTTATTTACTCAATCCTTAGGACGGAATCTATCAAAAGCTATACCCAGCCCAAGTTTATTAGGATTCTTATAAGGTAAAGCTTTTGGTAGAGGGACTGTTACCTTTGTAGTTGCATGACAACTCCCAAGCTTCTGGGACAGAACTTCCACTCTGAAATGCTGCTGCTGGTAGAGGTTGGGGGGAAACATAAAAACCTGGAAAATCTAGAGCTAATTGGAAGGGAAAAAAAGAGCAAAACCAGTGCCTAAGAAAAAGTCACTTTGAGATGAAGGAGGGTTTTGAAATGCTCTGACTGATCTTTCAACAGGGTTCAGAAAAATGGTTTTGAAAAGAAAATCTGCCTTTTTTTTTTTTTTGTACCTTAGAGTGACAAAATGTTCTGGTTTTAGATCTAAAATTAAAATTCTGGAAAAATCTAACCCAAACACTTCCTAAGGCCAGCTAGATTCTGTGAACAGTTTCACCTGCAATTAAATAGAAAGTTGTGTGGCTGCAGCAGCAGTATCACTGGAAGTGTCAAGAAACAGGCCCTGCCTTAACCCTTTCAACTGGGATTTAAATAACTAAGCCCAAACCTTGGCAAAGATTTCCCGCCCTCATTTTCCTGTTACACTGCTCTCTGCAGTGCAGGGTTCCAAGATAAACTAGCTGAACTGAGTATTTTGTGACCAACATAAACTAGCTGAACTAAGTATTTCTACCTAGGTTCAGCTGGAAGTTCAGAGAAAATGGAGGCAGTGGCATTTAAGCAAACACTGGCGTCAGCAGCTCAGCACCTCAGCGAGTAACGGAGGAAGTGGCTTCACTCAAGAGATGCACATGGTGAGGTCCAGCCCAGCAGAGCACAGGAGAGGAACCCTCCAAAGGTCAAGTGTGCTTTAACCCTGTGCACCTGAAGGTACCTCCATGCTCAGATACACATGGACTGAGCTGGGAGTCTTGTGTCCATATCCAGAGTGGGACTTGGCTGTAGATCAGCATTTCTTGGAGCACATCTGTGTATATCCTGTGCAGCACCGTGGTTATTCTGCAAAGCAAAATGGGCCAAAAAAATTATGCTCTTCCTTGAGTTTCTGGCCACAGTAATTTGTGTTTCTTTCCACACCTGCTGTTAGTTCTACCTTAAATGTGACCTTCCATTTTCCATGTGGCTCTCCAACATGTTCCAGGCTAAGTCAGGCTGGTGATTTTTTGATGTTCACCCTTTCTTCTGCTGCAGAAGCTGGGAGGATATTGAATTTTATATGATGAAGGTTATGTGCAATCCTCCATGGGTTTGAAATGCAAAATAAATTAATGCCTAGCATTTCTCTAAGTTCAAAGCCTTTCTGTTGTGGTGATGGATGCTGGACACTGAGAACATAAGGCACAGCTGAGCTCCAATTTCCTCTCTGACTGCATATCCATTGCTCCAGTGACAGTGGCAGGTTCAGACAGGTTTTTGCCTTTGCCTCTTTTAACAGTGGAGACCTTGGAAACAAGGGTGTTCCAATTTGGATATTTGTGTCATTTTTAAATGGTAAAAAAGCTATTACAATATATTCCAACAGTGACCAAAAAATCTTCAACAAGATAGCTCATCCCTATTGTATCTGTACCTCTGAGACTTGACCATATTGTATTTGACGTGAAGAAATGAAAGCTCTTGAGACATCAAAAGCTCAATTGAACTGAACAGTAGAAGCTATCTAGTGAAAAACAATATCATAGTGGCTACCAAAAGTCTCTTTAGAGTCTACAGTCCCTCAGTGTACTGAAATCTGCAAGGCTGTGCACTGTAATATGCTGTCAAAAAGTGTCACAGCTTTATGCTCTTCAGGACATTATTAAGTAAATTTCCCTGTTTTGAACAGAAAAGGGATAAAACAATTTACCTGATAAAGGAAATCAAATTTCCTACTTGATTTTGTATCCACATTTCCCTAATCGGGGTGATCTTTTGCTGGGTTTCTTCAAGGGCAAAGATGATTGAACCAAAAGCAAATGGTGTTTATCAGTTCTCCCTCCTCCAGGATCACCTACAAGACATTGGCAAAACATGCATGGCATGTCAAATGCTGCTTGAGCAGCATTCCCCAACCCCCTCTGCCAAAACTGCTCCAACGAGCTTTTAATCACACCAAATGCCTAAATGGTAGGCTTCTACCATTTTATCAGGAGACAAACATGCAGAGTTCAAAGGATATATTCAAGCTTAATTTACCTGTACCAAAGCAGGTTTTTGAGTGCTGTTAGCTCTGTTTGAAACTCTGAGATTAAGGAAAATAATATTTTTTTTCACTGGCAATGCAGACAGTTATCCCACACCCTCCCTGGTGCAGCAGGTGCTGCAGGCAGCAGCACACAGAGGGCAGCCAGGAGAGGAAGGGCACTCAGCAGCAGGGAAAATTTCGTGGTTGCTCCAGCTTTCTTGGCTCATGAAGGTCACCCAGCAGGAGGAGAGCTGAACCTCTTTATGACCAGGAAAAAAATAATGAGATGATGTAAACTGGCACGTGTGTCAAGGAATTACTTTAAATTTATACTTTTGGAAATAGCAAGGTTTCAAGATGGTTTTGTCCTTTAAAAATCAGCCGAAACAAGCAGAAGGAAGAACAGAAGCAGGATCAGTCCCGTGACCAAAGGAGAAGTGAAAGTCCCTCTGTGAAGGCTGGAATGAAAGATCTCACTTTTTGCTGACTCACCCAAGCAGAGCCTCTGAACTTCTTGGGGGAGTCACTCTGTCCCAGCGCATTTAGCAAGTCAGATAACTTCTGAAAAAATGTAACCCAAATTTTCTCTCTGGCCTATGAGACCAGGAAGGCTGAAACAACTTGTATGTTCCCTCTCTGAAAATTAAACATTCATCCTTCAAGCCAAAGCAGCTGTTTGTTTTAAATGCAAGTGCCTCCTTCCAGCATAAATGAAGAAATACAGATTCAGAGACACAATAACATGTAATTAATTAGATCTGATGCAATTATTGGCTCTCACACAAGCCAGTGTAATAGCACAGTCCTGCAGTGCATAGTTAGGACCAGCACAACATTGGGAGGAGTCCAGGCTGAGCATAATACCTATCTGTACATGCCACATGCCCCAGAAAAAAAAAAAAAGTTGCTGGTTTTTATATTTAAAACCACCAGTTCTAGCATAAATTATTGTGTTACATGGCCATTTTGGTTTTATTTGTCTTGCCCAAAATTACCAAGAAAAGGAATTATTCTCAGATTCTCTATAACATGTTTGCTTCAGGCAGCAAGCACAAGCCTTGTTTGATTGAAGAGCTGAGGCTCCATAAAAACTCCTGGATGTCAGCTGGAATTTGGAGTCCTCAGCTCTTGGCGAAGAGCATGTCCACTCGGGAAGATACCAGAAGCAGGCAGCCCCTGGAGTTGTGATGCTGTGACCTTATCCTGGTTTCTGCTGGGCACTGGAAGCTGCTGCCAAATACCACCCCAGGGGGATGGGTTCTTACCTCCCCCATCCCCTGGGCAGGCACTGCAAAGGCTCCCTGCACTGCTGGGGAATCTTGTTTGTTTAGCTGTGCTGAAGGATACTAGAGAAAAGAGCTCCTTAGCTCTGGGGACATTGACATGTTTATAGGCAGATGAGGAGAAACAGGAAAGCAGATCTCAGCAAGCAATGGAAAAACAAGAGATGAATGCACAGAGAATGAACACAAACTCCATATTCATAGAGCCCACCCACTTCCCTTTCACTGCACTTGCTCCTGGGTATTCAATGTAAAGTCCTGGGTATTCAATGTAAAGCAGGTGGCTTTACCAGTAAATAGGACCAGAGTACCACCTTCCACCCAAATACTTATCATTGTTCAGGGACACTGGTGACAGCCTCTGGCTATTCACTCCAGGTGCCCTGAGGAGCCAGCATAGCAGGCAGCACCTCCAGCCTGAGCATCAGCAGCCTAAGAGATAATGAATTGAAGAGGAAGTCGTGAATGGATTTTTCTCTCCAACACGGCAACAAGGAAGTTCCTAGCAAAACTGTCAAGAGAAAAAGCCAATAGCGGTGCCTTGAATAATTACATTGTGCAACGCCTGAGTGCAGGAGAGCTGAAATGGGCTGCTTCAGAAGGGCTGGTACTGATTCGGCGGGGTTGGGTCCAGTGAAGATGAGAGGCCCCAGGAATTCAGGCAACACCCCTTTCCAGGACACTGCCTGGGGCAGACCTTGTTTTCATGCAGAAATAAGGCCCTTCTTGCATGTGCTAGCTGACTTAGAAGGTTGAGAAGAAGGGCCATTATCAGCTTACCATATGTCCCAGGAGAGGGAAAGAGAAGGCAGGTGAGGACAGTCATATAATGCATCTTTGTAATCACCTTCCTGTGGCTTGCAAAAAACAAGCAAGGCTTAACCCCATTCCTGGTGTCCCTACAAGCACAGCTGATGAATGTATTGGAGACTTAAAATAACTTGCTCTAGGGGACCCTACTGAAGCAGGGAGGCTGGACTAGATGTCCTCCAGTGCACCCTTCCAACCATAACCATTCTGTGACTCTGGAAAAATACAGTCCAGGCAGGATACTTCCTCAGCTAGTATCAACATTTATAACATCAATATCCCTGTATCAACATTTCCTTATTCTTACCCACAGGCAATGGCTTGTGTACAAGTGTCCAATTAAAGTTAGTAACTAAGTCTAAACGGCTCATTAGCAAGAAGTGATGTTCATTACCCTGCTTTTAAGAGATGTTAAACTGAGACAGGCCAATGACCTCTCCTGTTGGAAGGAGAGCACCAGGTGCTAATTAACTTGAGATTACATAAACTAATTCAGTGGTGTAGCTGGGAAGCTATTTTCCTGACATTTAACTAAACCTGCTAATTCAGTGAGCTCTGAGAGAAAGACTTAAACACATTTGTACTCAGATAGCACTTCTTGCAGACCAGACAATCAGAGCTGAGGAAAAGAGCAAGGATGCTTCAGACACGGGGTGCAGTGTGGGAACAGGAAGGTGAAGGACACAGGAAAGAGCTCTTTAGCTGGTAAACAGAGCACATGCAACAGCAGGAAATCATTAAAGCGCCTACGAGGTTATCTCAAATTCCCACGAAGCAACACAGCTGACTGCCCTTCTTGTTTTGCAAGACAAGAAAGCAGTGCTGGCTTCTTGGGCTGGTGCAGACACACTGGAGGGAAAGGGAGAGGGGAGCATGTAGTGGCCTCAGTTCCCTTGGTCAGAGCTTGGCAGAGCACCAAGCAGTCATTTAATCATCAGTTTAGCTGGGTAAATACACAGAATGGTGCCTGGGAGATTATGTAAAACCCCACTCATCCCCTTAAATCTAAAGGTAAAAAGAGTGAATATTACAATTCTTATTTCAAATCAATTTATTTAACAAACTTCAGGAATACTGCTTGACACTGCCACACATTTCAGAAAATGAACAGTGACCCACTGTTGCACAGGTTGCTCTACATAAGGATGTCTCCAAGACAATCAACTCTGTTTTGTAATATTTAGCTGTCAAAATGCATCTTTTCCCTGTGTAATTAAGTTGAGCAGTACTATACAAAACCATTTGGAAAAAATACTCTTTTCCCCAGAGAATTCCCTACCCCCAACAAAAGGCCTCTTCTTCAGCTAGCAGAGGGCATCCTAAAATCATTCACAATTGCACCATGTCTAGGGTGAACTCAATGGCCAATTGTCCAGTCTCCCTCTAACCCAAACAGGAGGCACCAGCCTGGAACCCGTTCTGGCCATGGCTGCCTTCCAAGGAAAGGGATGGAGGCACAGCCTGACTCTAGCACGAGGGAGTATATACACAGTATATACACAGAAGAGATTTCCAAGTCTGGATGTCACCAAAGTGTCACTCTGAAGTTACATTTGTGTTTCTAGACAAGCCATAGACACCCTTTCACGTAGGGGAGCTGTCCTGTCTGGCACGGGAACCTGTGGGCTCCACAACTTTATGATTGGTTAGTTAAGATACTGCTGGTACACCTGGTAACAACAAAGTGCAACAGTCTGGGACCAGACTTGGCAGGGTCTCTTTGGCCTAAATGTCTCTGCTAAAGCAAACAGCACCATCTCACACAAGCATCTGCAAGTTCAGCCCAGCAGCACATCTTCAACACTGCCATTCAGCAAATCAAAAGCACCCTCACAAACAGACACAGTCACAGTGCAGTTTTCCAGAGACAAGGGCACAAGTCCTTGTCATTGAGAATGGCCAAGAAACCTCAACAAAGCCCCAAACATTACAAGAGCTTCTAGAGCTGTCTGGCAGCACAGCTCTGCATCATCTTGACAGAAAGATGAGCAGATTCATGTACAAAAGTACAACTGGCACTGTCCAGAGCAAGCCAAGTCTGAACCTGCATTGCAAAACAGGCTTGGGAGTGTTGTTTTAAGAAGTTACAGAAGTCCAAGAAGGAACGGAGACTGTCCTCTTGAAAGCAAGTGAGTCCACAGGAGCACATTCATCAAAGTGTGGTACATTCAGCTCAGGCACAGCTTAAGATTCTTAGCTTTCAAAGACAAAGCTGTTTACTCATGGCTCACCTACAGGCTTTTTTTGCTTCTGTGCTAAGATGCATTTGTTTCAGGTGAAAAACCGTGTCAAACTTGCTGCACAGGAAGCTAAAACCTTGCTCAACAGACAAGGTATATGGATGAAGCATGTAGAAACATTTGTTCTAAAACAAGGATATAAGCAGCTTTACTAGTGGATACAAAGCAAACAGTAAACCAGAAACCCTGAAATAGTCTGAAGACAGTTTTACCTGTGAGCAACCAAATGCTTTGTGCTGGACAGGGAGAACACATGTAGGGCAATCTACTCTACAAGTGAGGTCTTCTCTCCTTTTACGTAAGACACCACGGAGAACTTCAAAGCTGTAGCAATTTTAGAGATCTTGACTCAGACATTGGCAGAAGGAAGACCAGCCTTTGTATAATAGTTTTGGCCAGGTCTCTCAACATTTCTACCAGTGGTGACAGATTAGAGCTGCACCCATCAGCCCCTCCTTAGGCAATCATGGGCTGCTTCTCCTCCCAGGCTCACTGTTAGAGGAAGAAAAGGACCTGATCTGGTCAGGAGGATCCAGGGCTTTCTCCTCCCATAAGAAATGCTACAGGAAGCAGATTTCCCACTGCCCCAGAGGAAACCGTGATAATCAAAACACCCCAGAAGCTATGGTGGCCTCTGCATGGTCTGCCCAGCCACAACACCCCATGAAGCCTCTGCAGAGCTTGTCCCTCTTGCCCCAAAGAACAAAGGAAAACAAGAGAAATGCCCTGTTACCGTCAACTTTGCAAGGAATGTGATAGCCAGTTTGGCTGACCTGTTGGCACATGTCCTTCAGGGGTGGCAGGAGAGTGGTGACACTGGGGAGAGGCCACAAACACATGGATGCCTGAGGAAAGCATCACATCCCTTCCCTGTGCACCTCCATCACCCAACATCTACTCCTGGCCCCAGGTCTGCACCTGTCTGAAGTATCACCAAAAAACTGACCAAGAAAAGAACAGATAAAGGGAACATGCTAGAAGTAAACAAAACCTGTGACCAGATCAAGTTCTGTGTGCCTTCTCTTTTGAAAGAAAAATGAAGGAGTAAGATCCAGTGAAGATTTTCCATACTGCACACCAGTGAGTATGGCCAGGCAGAAATCATCTGTCCCTGAGCCAGAACAAAACCATGAGACACACCAAAGTTGTATCACACTCTTCATAGGTATGTGAATATGGGGAAAAGCACAGCAACACCAAACCCACAGCAGTACAGGTGTTGTGCAAGCCTCAGGTCAACATGTGGGATAGATTGAAGTCTTCCAAATCTCTGCATGTTTAACAGGACACCTTCTACTTTAATCCACTCATCCAGAAAACCATACTGCAGCTGCAGTCAGTCCAGTCTCTGCTTGGCTGGTGTTGCACAGCCCTCCATGCTGACCAGTGGGTGGTTCTGTCTTCTACAGGCATCAAGACTGACTCATGCTTCCCCTCCTTGCACACAAATTAAGACAGGGCATCCTTTTCAAACTTCATTAGACTCTCTTTTTTCCAGTCTAATTGGCAAAGCTGATTACACAAAGGCAGAGGTACATCTTTTGTGCCTAGATTTTGCCTACCCCTTTCCTGAGGTGTGTGAGGCTGTTGATGTGAAGTCCGCTGATTCCATTAAGGAAGAAGAGAAAGGCAGCAATGAACTCACACCAGTATGTCAGCGTGAAGCCTGTGAAGGTGAGGTGATCCTTCACCAGGATGGAAAAGCTCAGAACACCAGTGGCTGACAGCAAAAAAGAGATGAGGATGAGAACAGAACCCATTGCCCATTTCCGCCGGGCATTGGCATCATCGCAGACTTGGGACACCATCAGCAGCTCCAGCCCAAAAATGGCAACCACAACAGCAAAGGACACCATGCTCCTGATGGGAATCACCCCCACGCTCAGCCCCTCCACCTGGGCCAGGCTGAGGTCTGTGACACACTTCAGGACGCTGTCATTGCTAACGGTGCAGAAGTGCCACAGTCCAAAGAGCTGTCCCCTCGCAAAGAGCCAGCGGCCATCGCAGATGGAGATGGACGACAAGACCACGGCTATCGCCACGCACAGGATGATCAGGCTCCTGATGAGTGTCTCAAAGAAGGATTTCTGTGGTCTCCGGTGTGCCAGCAGCTGCTGTGCCTGAAAGGGAACGTGAGGAAAAAACAGAGCTAACAGCGGTGCTTCAGGGTGAAAAAAAGCCAGAGGGACAAAGCTGTGGGATTCAGTATTTGAAAATATTTACTTGTGCACATCAAACCTCTTCTCGCTAGGGAAGGCTGTACACAGGAGAAAGGAAGGGTGGGTGAAGCTCTCCCGGTTCCCTGGCTGCACAAACAATGCTCCCACGTCAAGGCCTGGGACCAGGATCAGAAAAGCTCTCGGCTGAACCAGGTCCCTGCCCCACGGTCTTGCAGCACAACCTCCTGCTGGGGCAGGGCTGGAGGAAGCCACCGGCCCCTGGGAGGATGGAGGCCGGTGGCTGGCACGGAGGAGGCGGACTGGGGGGGCTCCTACGTCCCAGCACTGCCCTCCCGAGCTGCCTCCAGCCGGTCTCTCCTCCTCCGGCCGGCAGCGGCCCAGACCTCGGTCCTCACCCCGGGGTCGCACGGCTCAGCTACCCCGGGGCTTGGGGGAATTCTCGGCTGCAGCCCCCGCGGACCCGCACCTCCCCTCCTCACCGAAACCCTCCAAGTGACGAGATGCAATGGAAGGTCGAGCCAAGAGCCCCCGGCCCCTCGGAGCCACGTGCGGCGGGGAGGGGGGAGCCGCGGCCCCGGGCAGCTGCCGCCGGCCGGAGAAGGCGGGAA